CAATAGACTCGTTAGCATTCGCGCAAAATGCTGTTGCAGAGGGTGAGGGTCGACCCTTTGTGTGTATGTGCGTATCATCCTACGCACTGTTTGCTCGGTAGAGGGTCGGACGGTTGGCTTTGAAACGCTGGGTGAGGATTGTTTGGCCTCAGCATAGCTGTTCGTGTCACAGATTTGCATGCAGAAATGATGGTTAATCGATGACAACTACATATATACTGGTCCCCAGTGGGTAATATCCTTTCTCATGTGTTTCGTGCATGTTTGACTATATTTAATTCCCAAGCCATTTTAAAACTGTCCGTAAAGTCCCAACTCTCATGGGACCAGTATATATATATATATAGTTCATTAGATTTCTGGAGAAAACGTTTCGACAAAGAACGCGGTGTTCCCTTTTGATGCTGGCTACTGTTCGGTAGGTATTTATTTGAAAACTACCTCACCACTGCACACTTCACCACATTGCAATTCACCATACGACACAAGATGACAAGATCACCTCACCATGTCAGCATGACACTTCAGTTGATCACCAAACCATACTACTTGTTCACCACCGCGCAGACTGCACAGATCTCCGTGGTGCAGCTTCACGCGACACATCACATAGCATCAAATGAGACGCAACAAGCGGAACCATCACAGGTCACCTCAATAGATCACCGCAGGATGTCACCAAAGACCCAAACATGAGAACACGTCAAACGTCCGTAACGTTTGCTTTGCCAGAGGTTGCCTGACATACCGTTCATGACATCTTTTTGCACATCGACTTCAGTTTCTTTGACATCGTTTACTGTAACCGTTTTGCTACCGCAGCAACCTGTCCACTCCAGAAATCAACGTGCACAATTGCTTGAATCAGCACTCAGCCAAAGGTGCCCAAGGTGCCTGAGCCATTGAACAGCGAGTTGACCTCCCTGGAGTTCATTGAGGTGAAATGGTGCCTTGGGCAGTGCCAATGAATGGTGGTTTTTGGATCGGAAGGGAACTCCTCATTGCAACGCGGCACCCTGTGATTCCAACATCGCACTATGGAACCGTGAAGTGGTTCAATGCGTAGCTATGGCTCAAAGTATTATTATCCGAACTCATTGGTCACATGTGTTGACAAGCAACAACTCTGTTCAACGCTTATTGAATGAATTATGTCATTTATATAGGCCACATAGGCGTCCTGTGGTGCGGAACTAGGGGACCTTCATCCAAAAGACACTGTTGGAGGGCAGTTTTCCTCACTTCCTCCAGCCTTCATGGTTAAGTCATGAGTCATGAAGTGTCAGAAGGCAGGGGCAAACATGTGGAGCTCATGGGATGTGGGGCACCCTCAAACAGCCCAAAGCAAGAGATGCGAAATCTCAATAAGTCGCACAATGTTGATTTTGACCATTCAACGACTGTGGGTCGCTTCCATCATCTTGCTGTGTGCTTGATTGGCAACACATTTGATTCAGATAGTCATTTCATGGAAGGAAAAGAGCGCAGCAACATACAAGCTGGTGCCCCAAAGCGGGGCACAACTGAGTCCAAAGTTTAGAAGGGCAATCAATCTCCTACCAGTGAGGGTCGGCTTTCGATACAGCCTGGTAGATGCCGCCAAGAGTAGTTTGGCCCAAACTGATGGACGAACTGGTGCGGAGGTTTCACAGCGGTTCGCTAGCAAGCCCTTCCAGGAACCAAGAGACTTCGTGCGGGGTTGATGGCGGTGTGGCGAATGAGTAGGGGTGCCGCGGGTTTGAACAACCGAAAGGCTGTATCCTGCTTTGACAGTCTGACTCAAGAACAAACATCTATGAAAGGAACAAGTGGTGACAGAAAATGGCTGCCGTCCTTCCCTGCAATGCTTTTGTTGCTTCTCAGGAAACCTCCACACGAGAGTGGTGCTGACATTGAGAAGTACGAGATCAGGCCGGCACCCCGGCGCGCGGGACGCTTTCTGCAGGTTTTCCACAGCTGGCGCCGGGTTTATACAATGGCCCGACTATTTGTGATTCCTTTCGTACCTTAGGATCACTTTCCAAGGGGAGCTTGAAACCTGCCATGGCAAGCCAAGGCGTAATTAAAGCATTCTGAAGGCTCAAGTGCAGACTCCAGAGTGCAGACTCACGTGAAATATCCTTAGATCAACAGATAGACAACGGTACCGAGAAGATTTTAACAGCAGGGTTTGCGCGATGGATAGATAGATAGATAGATAGATTAGATAGATAGACAGATAGACAGATAGGTAGAGAGGTAGATAGGTAGATAGGTAGATAGATAGATAGATAGAGACGGACAGACGGACGGACCGACAGACAGAGAGAGAGAGAGAGGGAGACAGACAGACAGACAGACAGACAGCCAGCCAGGCAGGCAGGCAGGCAGACAGACAGACTGACTGACTGACAGACTGACTGACTGACTGACTGACAGACAGACAGACTGACAGACAGACAGACAGACTGAGAGACAGACAGCCAGCCAGCCAGCCAGGCAGGCAGACAGACAGCCAGCCAGGCAGGCAGGCAGACAGCCAGCCGGGCAGGCAGGCAGGCAGGTAGCCAGACAGACAGACAGACAGAGAGAGAGAGAGAGACAGAGAGAGAGAGAGAGACAGAGAGAGAGAGAGAGACAGAGAGAGAGAGAGAGACAGACAGAGAGAGAGAGAGAAAGACAGAGAGACAGACAGACAGACAGACAGAGAGAGAGAGACAGAGAGACAGACAGAGAGAGAGAGAGAGACAGAGAGAGAGAGACAGACAGAGAGAGACAGACAGAGACACAGACAGAGACAGACAGAGACAGATAGAGATAGAGATAGATAGAGATAGATAGACAGACACAGAGGCAGAGGCACAGGCAGAGGCAGAGGCACAGACGGATAGATAGATAGATGCACTTGTGTATCTACTTGACGCTTGCTGAAAGGACCAATGATCGCAGCGCTGAATATCTTAAACCCTCGACTAGATTCTTGCATGACCAATCATCGACAACAGCCAGGATCAAATCCTTAAGAGCCATCGCTAGTAGGCTGGAGGCCATCGCTCTTAGGTTGGAGGTTAAGCTTCCCCAAAATATCTAGAAACCAAATGAACAGTCCGAGCGTGAGCTTTCCCGCGTCCTAAGTAGTAGCTACTTAAGCTCCTAGCTAAATATACCTCTCCCTACTACCTACCTAGCCAACCTATCTCACCTCTACCAGCGGCCTACCCCTTTCAAAAAAAGATAATACATAAATACATATATATATATATATGTCAAAAAACAGGCGAACCAAAAGCAACCATACTCGCTCCAGAAAACTCGCTTGGACCTTGAATGAAATAGATGTTTGCAAGGAGACTGTCCTTCCAAAAACCTAAGTTTGGGAGAGACCATCTAAGAACTCGATTGAGGACTGTGAAGGGGCTTGATCCTTCTCGAAGGTCAGGGGCCGGTGATGTGAAGGGTATGCAAGATGATGTAGTTAGATCAGTTAGATCCATACTGACCCCTAAATTCATCTACTCCAGACAACTGGAAGTGCCCAGAAAACGTGTCCACAAGGATGGCCATGCGCCCGAACCCCATCGAGGAAGAATGGCTCGGGGCCCAGTTTCGGGTTTTGACGACCTACTTCTCGCCGTGCAGAACTAAACTGTACTGCTATGTCAGTGTTTGCTTTTGACCCAGACCAGACCCACAAGGCTCAAATCTTGCATAGCCAGGATTTCTGGCTAAGAAACATCATACATGCGGCAGTTGAAGTCAGGGAGAGGGAGGGGAAAACAAGGACTTGGATGGACTTGGTTGACTTGCACTAAGGAAGAAACGTAACCATTTCAGCAGCTCCAGAGCATGTATTCACGGGATCAGAGTCACCGAGCAATCACGGGATCAACACAGGTCTCGGGAGCGAAACAACATGGTGTGGTGCTGTCACGCGGGGGCGGCGAACATCATTAGATGGTAGGTGAAATGGTAAAGAATCACTAGACAAGTGATATGAACCTAGGTGTTTAATAGGATTGCTCGTTTCATTCAAATATAATGTTGGATCCTGATTAGTAAAGGGCCCCCCCCTCCGCCCCCTCAAACAAACAGGAGACCCTCTATAATAAATTACCACCAAAACAAATCTGGATTCCTGTGAGAATTCATGTGAGAATTCCTGTGAGAAAGCTGTCAGTTTTGAAGAAACCTAGAGAAAACTATAATCATAATCATTGGCTTCAGGAGCTAAGGAAAGGAAGATTACATGA